CTGATGTCTTTAACCACGATACAAGTGTCCATTCAAACTTGTGACTTTTAAAATGTATTAGGTAAAGGGAAGATAATATAAATAACATGTGGAAGGACTTCCATGAGACTGAGTAAATTGAAGCCAGTTTACTGTGGATGGTCCTGGTCTGCCTTATTTAATCAGCCTACACAGACCTCAGAAGTTTTAAATCACAAATGCTAATTTATACCATGAATGCCAGTTGATGAAGTGAGAGTCTGTGGTAACTTTTTCCAAAAGGGTTGGCATTAGATTTTCATCAAGAATTACCCTCTTGATTAAACTATTGTTATTTTGGAGAAAGCAAGATTGAGTCTGAGTCATTTGGAAGGTAGGAATGTAACTCTGTATTAACATTAGCGGTTTCTTTGATAGATGCTCTTGTATTCAAGTATCATTTTTTTTTTGTACTGAAAAAGAAAGAACTAGTGAAGGTATTTTTTAACCTTAAAATGTTCTAATTCTTACTTAGGATTTGGGGATATAGTTTTTAAAAATTTTTTCTGTTTCACTCTTTGAAACAGGAAAATCCTTTGTGCTGAAAATAAAATTACACTGTATTAAAATAATTCTCTGCAGTTGACAGCCATATTTGTTTTACCTGGATACTCCTGCTTACAGTGAACTTAAAGCAAAACAAATGAATAATAAAGCTACAACTGCCATCTCCAAATCCTAATGTAGTAGTTTTAAAACATGTCTATATATCAAAACAGACATGAATGGTACAGAATAGAATACACAGAGACAAACCCACATAAATATAGTTATCTCCTACTTGACAAAGGCACTAGAAACGCACCTTGGAGAAAAGATAGCCTCTTCAACAAATGGTGCTGGGAAAATTGGAAATCCATATGTAACAAAATGAGATTAAACCCCTATACCTCACCCTGTACAAAACTCAAAGTGGATCAAGGGCTAGACCACAGGCTCTGCACCTGCTAGAGAAAAAGTAGGCCCAACTCTCCATCCTGTCAGCTTAGGAACCAAATTCTTCAACAAGACTCCTAAAATGCAAGATGTGAAATCAAGAATCAGTAAGTGGAATAGATTCAAATCAGAAAGATTTATCACAGCAAAGGAAACAATCAAGAACATGAACAGAGTGCCTACAGCATGGGAGAAAATCATTGCCATCTGCAGTTCAGATAGAGCAATAATCTCCAGAATATATAAAGAAGTCAAAAAACGTCACCCCTCCCCCCCCCAAAAAAAACCCAATCAATAAATGGGCAAAGGAATTGAACAGGCAATTCACAGAAGAAGAGATACAATTGATCAACAAATACATGAAAAAATGTTCAACATCACTAGTAATTAGAGAAATGCAAATTAAAACTACACTGAGATTCCACCTCACTCTACTCAGAATGGCAAGTATAAAAAAATACAAGTAACAATAAATTTTGATGAGGATGTGGAGAAAAGGTACACTCATACATTGCTTGTGGGACTGCAACCACTCTGGAAAGCAGTATGGAGATTCCTCAGAAAACTTGGAATGGAACTACCATTTGACTCAGTTATTTCACTCCTTGGCATATACCCAAAGAACTTAAAATCAGCATACTATAGTTGCGTGGCCAACAATGTTTATAGCAGCTCATTCACAATAGCTAAACTATGAACCAAGCCAAGTGGCCTTCAACAGATGAATGGATAAAGAAAACGTGGTACATATACACAATGGAATATCAGCCGTAAAGAAGAATGAAATTATAGAATTTGCTGGTAAATGGCTGGATCTGAAGACTATCAAGCTAAGTGAAATAGGTGAATCCCAGAAAACCAAAGGCCAAATGTTGTCTCTGATATGCAGATGCTAACACATAATAAGGGGCTGGGGAGGGAGGAATAGAAGTCATTGGATTAGGCAAAAGGGAATGAAGGGGGGTGGTGGTAATAGGAAAGATAATAGAATGAATTGGACATGGCTTTTCTATGTTCATATATGATACATGACCAGTGTAACAGCATATCATGAACAACCACAAGAATGGGAAGTTCTACTCCATGTATGTACAATATGTCAAAATACATTCTGCTGTCTTGTTTAACCAAAAAGAACAAATAATTTTTTTTTTTAAAAGAAGGCCATGAGTTCTCTGATTCTCTTTCCTTCAAGAGGTGGAGCTGGCCCCCTCCTCAAGCTGCAGCCTGTCTCTGGGACTTGCTTCTGATGAATGGAATATGGTCAGTGTGGTGGCTTGTGGAGTTCAGGTACAAGTGAAACCATCACTGTGGTGTCTGTCCTTTATCACTTTTTGGGGGACTCACTCTGAGGGTGGCCACCTGCCAGGCTGGGAGGAAGCTCCAGGGGTCCTACTGTGGCAAGGCTCAGGGAGGGGCGGGGTGGTGAGTAAGCCACAGTAAGTGGGTTCCCGGGCCTGCTGAGTCCTGAGATGACAGCAACCCAGGCACTGTCTCCACAGCACCCTCACCACAACCATCCAGGTAAGCCACCCTGGAATTCCCTGCCCAGAGAAACCCCCAGATGATGGAAACCCCTGTTTTGAGTGAGTGTGCTTTTGGATAACTAGTTACATTGCAACCTGTAGCTGAAACAGTGGACTATTTTCCTCTCTCTGTAAGGACACACCATTGCAGACTTTTCACCCATCTTCCATAAATCACAAAGCAACCACATGGATACTCAGTCCTGGTGTGCTTGAGTTTCAATTGTTGATTCCATTTTTCAAAACCTTGATATAACTACAACTTCTTAATAGTTGAAAAAAAAATAGTAAGCTGAAGTGTGAAAATTTTAGACTTCTTTGGATTCGGTAGAAGAAAACACTAAGTATTTTTGACAATTTAAGTGGGCTTCTTGTCCAAATAAGGAACATCAAAACCCTACAGGACTTTTGGCAGGAATTTCCAGAAAAGGAGTGATTGAAATTAAAACCTCTGTATTCTTCAAATTTTTTTTTTTGGAAATGCTGTTAATAAATAGAAAGTAAGGACAACAACAATTGATCCTGTTATCTCATATGCTGTTCCATGTGCTCCAACAAGAAGACTAATTATTAGATAATGGCCATAACGCAATAAAGAAGACTTAGTCTTCTTCAGTCTTACTCTTAAGATTTGAGATGATGCGGGAAATGACAAATGAATGGACACTCATGGGCACACCTGGTCAGTGACAATGTCACAAAGAGTCAGGGCTGAGGCAGCTAAGGGCCTGGGGCATGCTGGTTTATGTACCAACTGGAGTCTGAATCTGGTGCTGTGGGGTGATGAGTGTCCAGTGATCAAGTGATCCCGTCCACTTCTCTCCACCCCGAGACCCATTGGTGACGTTGAAGTACCTTATGGGGCCGGGAAAGTCCTCCTTCCCCAAACATCTCCCAGACTTGATTTACGCCATTTTGAATTTTCCCTCAACAAACAGTTGCTGGAGGGAAGGTAGGTTCCAGAAAGATCTATCCAGGAGAGGGTGAGTGAAAATTGGTTTATTTTGATGGAAGATCAAAATGTATCATTTAAGAACAGCTTATTTCTCCAGAGAACTCATCTTGCCACATGACCTCATAAAACTGTGAGGGGGAAAAACCAGCGTGTGTAGTTAGTTTATGAAACACCGTCCTTGGAGTGAATCATGAAAACTTCATTCCCACCCCCCACGCTACTGTCTTTCAACAGGGCTGCGCTGCGTCTCTCTCCCCCTACCTTTTAGCCATACTTTCCGCTGATTCCACTGTTTCTCTGGCCACTTTCAGGGTTTATGGAAGTCAGGGAACATGGGGTTCATTTGTTTCCTGCTCTGCTGAAAGCGTCTGTCTGTCCAGAACTCATATGTCGACCCATTCCCCACGGTTTAGGGTGTGGGGCCTCTGGGAGGGGATGCGGTCCTTAGTACCCAAATAAAAGAGGCCTGAGAGAGACCCCTCGTGCCTCCCACCATCCCTCCCCCCATCCCTTCCGTGAGGATGCTGGGAGGAGGTTCCATCTGTACAAAGTGAGTCCCCACCAGACACCAAACCCTGCAGCACTGTGCCCTCGGGCTTCCTGGCCTCCAGAAGGCAGGAGGTAGATTTCTGTTGTGTATAAGGCGCTTAGTTTGAAAGTTCTAGCTCCTAGGCAGAGTAGGACCCTTCCTTCTCTCTTCTTTCTGCTTTCTCCTGCTTTCTAGCACCTCTAGGATTAAGCAGAGAGCCGGGAGGACTGGCGGAAAGGGCAGAGTCTTACCCCGATGGCTACGAGGGAGCACGGCGGCCTCCCAGGGTGCGTCTCCAGAGGGAGGCCCAGGGAGGGTGGCTGGCTTGAAATCATCTTTAAGGAACCTACCACAGGACATCCGCCTGGCAGGGCTGTCCCAGGGAGGGACAGTCCTGGGGGATATTCTAAGTTGGTGCTGAGGAGGATTTTAGGGGGCTGGTCAGAGGAACAGTGCCAGGGCGTGGGCAACAGGACATCCCCAGGGAGCAGTCCCACCCCAATGCTCCATGAGTGCATCAGTCAGCACTGGGGCATGTGCTACCCTGGACACCAGCACGAGGTGACATCAGCAGGAGTCAGTTAGGGCTTTTCTGTCCTGCTCTACCCTCTCTTCCACATGGCTAGAGGCATGTGGAGAGTGGACATGGGGACAGAGGTGCAGAAATACTACAGGAGGTCACCCCTTCACCTCTGTCCATTACTGGTCACCGTCAGGCCTGAGACCCAAAGAGGGGGAGCTTCCAGTTGTTGAGAGACGGAGGCTTTGATTGGTTCTGTGGGACTTTTTAGTCCATCAGCCCGAGGATGTGTGCTAACATCTAACAGTGACTTGAAAAGTGTCACCTGACTAGGCCTGTGATGAGGTGGCATGCCTGAAAATCGCAGACAGGAGGAAAATAATGTCGCTCTAGGCTCGCTTCCTTCTGAGTCCAGCTTATTCTTAAACAATAAAAACAAAAACCAAAGAAAACACTGAGCACCTGGCAAACCATAAGAGCTCAATAAATGTTGGGTGTGATTATTGTCACCTTTCATGGTATCATGACCACACCTGGTTCTCTCCTGCAGCCTGGGAGGAAAAGCATCATGGAAAAGCAGCCCGAGGGGTTCCCAGAGGCCGCCGTGTGTCACTGTTAGCGTTCCTTTCGTAGGGTTCAGGTAAGGACCCCGTCATCCCCATTTTCTGTTTAATAAAACATACTTGACTAAGATTTAATGTGGTTTCAGTCTAATTTCCTCTTGGCTAAGCTGAAAGGATGAGGGGAAATGAGCAGGTTTGGGTCCATTACTGAATAAGCAGGACAGTCAGAGGGTAACAGGCAGGTGAGGAAGCCCTCCTCCCAGGCTTCTTGTTTGAAATGAACCCGTGCAAACCGTCCACACGGTCCAGCCACCTCCTTTGTCCTGGGGCAGCCGAAACAGGGAGGTGGGACAGACCTGGGCGAAAGCTACAGACTCAAGGGCTGACCCTCCAGAATGATGCAGGTTGAACCAAGAGCCTGGGCACTGTCCCAAGACCTATCAGCATGGCTGTTGATCAGGGCCCCTCGCAGTAGTGTGGAAGCCCCTGGACCAGCACACTTAAGTGGCAACCCCTGTGCTCTGTGGGAGCGTCTCTCTTCTCCTGGAATAAATCCTACTCTTTCAAGTTCACTTTTCCTCATTGTGGATTTCATTTTTTGAATTCATGAGACAAGAACCCAGAAAGCAAACACTGGCAGATGACTGGGGTCTTTCAGCCGAGGCTGAAATCTGGTTTCAATAGTAAAGAGCCCCTTGAAGAGGACGCTCTATTGCCACACTTCATGAGGTCATCGTCACAGAGTGCAGATTGAGCAGGGTGGGGGCTCCCCTCCGGGAATCCAAGCACAGTGGTCGCATGCAGCCAGGGTAAGCCGCTCCTGCCTGTAGAGACAGCTTATTCCCACCTGGATTCCTCTGAAGGAAGTTTTTCAACCAAAATGAAACTGAATAGAAGATCAAATGCTTAATAACCGACCTCTGTGAACATTACTCACCACGGAGGGTTACGCTTTGTTGTCGATGATGCACTTTTCCATTTTAGTACACTTTTAGATCTAAGGAATTGTTAAGAAGGAGCTCTGGAGTGTCCAAGTCCCCTCCCTACATCCAGTTTTCCATGTTACTGACATTACTCTGATATATCTGGTACATTTAATGAGCCAGTTTTGATATGTTATCACTAACCAAAGTGCATACTTTATTTAGATTTTTTTTCCCATTTTTCTCCTAATATTCTTTTTCTGTTCTAAGAGTACATCCAGGATACATCCAAGATTACATCACAAGTACATCTCTGTAGGCTCCTGTTGGTTGTAACAGTTTTTTACAGACTTGCCTCAATTCTGATGACCTTGACAGCTTTGGGGGTTAAAGCTGATCAGGTGACAAATGGTAGAATGGACTGGGCATTACTCTCCTGAATGCACATATGAACATATGACCAATGCAATTCCATATCAGGTATAACTGGGAGAATGGAAGTTATACTCCATCTCTGTGTAAATGGTCAAATACATTCTACTGTCATGCATAACTAATAAGAACAAATAAAAAGTAATTATAGTAAGAAAAAATATATTGTTCTGATATTTTGTAGACTGAGCCTCCCGCCCGCCGGAGTCATCTTGTGTTTTTCCCTTGAGTAGACTGGGATTATTGGATTTCTGGAGGAAGACCACATAGGCAAAGTGACATACTCACCACACCTTTTCAAGGATTCGTATCATTGACATAACTTGTCACTCTTGATGTCGACCTTGATCTCCTGGATGAGGTAGTGTTTACCACCTTTCTGTACTGCAAACTTCATTCTTTTCCCCTTTCCCAGACTGTACTCTTTGGGAGAAAGTTACTTTGCTGAGCTAGCACTTGATGGGTGGTAATTATTTTGCACTTCACTAAGAGCTGAGGATCCACATAAATTATTTGGAATTCTGCATGGGAGATTGCTTTGTCTCTGTTCCTACATGAGCCTATTTATTCAGTTACTTATTTATGTCAGTTTGGACTTGATATTTATTTTATCAGGTTATAGTCCAATACTACATGAATTTATTGCTCAAATTCTCCTAGCTTCTAAGTATGAGAGCTCATTCACATACCTTTTCCGTTGTGGAGTGGTCTTTGTTTTTCAGTTTCAAAAGTTTAAGCACTTATTCCTTCTGGAACTTGGATCCTTGGCTACTTCCTGTCGCAGCCCTGGGATCAGTCATTTCTCCAAGGAGCCAGGGTGTTCCTTTTACTGATGGTTTGAGGAAAAAACAAAGAACTGGGAGCTGGAAGTTCTTGTTACCTCTAGCCTGTCTTTGCCTTTAGGTCTTCTCAACTGACAGAGCAAGTCCTGCTGTTTGCATATTCTAACAGTGTATATATACATTTGTGTTGCTGTAACAAAATACTGAATGTTGGGTAGTATATAAAGAAAAGAGGTTTATTTGGCTCATGACTCTTGTACCTGGAATGTGAGGGCCCCTGACTTCACCACAACATGGCAAGAAGCAGCAGGGGAAGTGACGGCATGCAGAAGGGAACAAGGGTCGGGGATGGCCGCAGTTCCTAACAGCCTGCAGTTGGAAGAACTACCCCATCCTACACAACTACAAGAGTTCCTCGTAGGAGGGCATCCCCATGAGCTCACCACGTCCTCTAGACCCCAGCTCTTAAAGATCCACCTTTCTCAGTACCATTACATCGGGGACAAGTTTGGGGCCTGCTGGGCAAAACATTAAAGCCACATGGGGCCTGTAGTGACACCTAGGACGTGTCTAGTGGAACCATTGTATCTATATTGAGTCAAGCCTGAGTTTTTACTGATTCCAATCCATCACCACGTGGATCATTATAGCTCTGCTATTTGTTGATCTGTAATTTTATTCTAGTAAAACTCTGACTCGGGGAAGCCTGTCCTCACCTCTGGGTTCTCTTGCATTGTCTCGTGCAGGAGAATCAAATCTAAACTGCATGCGCTTGTCTGCGTCTCTCTCTTCCTGGCCACCGTGAGCGGAGCGGCTTTCCCCCATCGGGACGCACTGACCCATCCTGGACCCAGAGCGGTGCAGTCTGTAGCCCATGCACTGAGACTTTGGGAACTGTGAGCCCCAAATAAGCTTCTCCTCCTCTCAGTTGTTCTCGCCAGGTATTTTGGTCAGAGATAAAAAGCCAACTAATAGGCAATGACTTTGTGAAATTTTACAGGTGGCTAAATCACTGAGTTAAAGGGTATGAATGTTTAAGTGCCCATAGTATTTCACATTATCCTCTAAATATGTACACTTGACCAGAACTAAATCAGAAGCATGAGAAGACTTGAAGATTATGATTTTAAAATGATTTCTTTGTATGTGACATAGAAAACCTTAGCATACCATGCAAGGTGGAGATTTTTTTCACCATTTGTCTTTCTTCATTCTGGCTTTCTCTCAGTTCCGTTACCTAGCTTTCTTTTTAGTGTAAGCTTCATTTTTTTCATAAATATTCAGTATTATGGCTGTTTAGCTAAACTTGAGATCTGATGATTTATTTGTAGTAATTCATCGACCTCCTCCCTTCACATTCCTGCTTGGTGGAACTTCCCAGAAGTTCTTGCTGAACTTCTGAATGTGTTGCTGTAACAAAATACCAGATGTTGGGTAATATACACAGAAAAGACATTTCTGAACAGCACAGAGGGACTATTTCCTGAGGACCCAGTCTGAGACTCTTCTCTATCTGCTCACACACACAGGATTTAATTCCTTCAATTATCAAGCCATTATTGCAGTTGTCTTTATATTTCTCTTCAAAGTGCTATTAATATAGGGAGATTCTTCTCATGCCACGATCCTTCTAGAACCCAGTCTCAGAGCTCTTTTAATGGAGTGAGGGTTTTGTATACAGACGCTTAATGTGTCTGAGTGCCTGAGGAAGTTTCTTCCCTGTCAACCACACAAAAAAGCCCGCAGCCTCAGGAAGGAATCCTTCCAAATCTGAGACACATCTCTCAAAAAGGTCTATCTCAGGTTGAGTTAAGGGACTTCTTTTTTCTCAGCTGTATTGTGTGTGTTTTTTTCAGTTGTATCACACACCGTGTGTGTGTGTGTGTGTGTGTGTGTTGCTCAGTCTTATTGGGTAGCTCAGGGTCACAGTTCTTGGGGTTCTCATGGACTTACCTGAGTGGCTTTGGATTTTCAACCTGGAGCCTTGGATGCTGTAGAGTCGGGTGGGACTTTGGGAGCCTGCCAGGGGCAGCTGTCAGCTTGCTGTTGTCCAGCAAAATAGTCTTGGACAAGTTATTGAGCATTTCTAAGCTTTCATAAAACTAGGAGGGGGAGTAAGGGACATGAACACGTAGTTTCAGTCTCTGAGGACCCTGGTTCCACATCTCATTTGAATTGGTCTGTGGTTACCTATCATAGAATTGGAAGGTACTAGAAAGACCTAATCGGAAGGGTCTTGGCTTTGGTAAACTTTTTCAACTCATAAGAAAGACTGTTATCAAAACTCACGTGTGAGACAATGCAGGAAAGTTCAGAGGTGAATACATGGGTCACGAGAGCCTTCACCTAATCGGTGCATTAATCCGCGGATGGCATTAACGGTAACTGGAGATAGGTTGGTGTGCCTGGAGGAGGTGGCCTCGGGGGGTGCCCTTGGGGTTTACATTTGGCCATGGTGAGGGTGGCTCACTCTTTGCTTCCTGATCATCAAGTCCTGAGCTGCTTTCCTCCTCCAAACCCTTCTGCCATGATGTTCTGCCTCAACTTAGGCTCCCAGCAGCGGAGCTGGCCATCTGTGGACTGAGACCTCTGAGACCCTGAGTGCCAAATGACCTTTTCTCCTCTAAAATTGGTCTTGTCAGGACCTTTGGTCACAGCAGTGAAAAAGTTGACTCAAACAAAGGCCATTTCCATTCTCCACGTTCCCGCCGTGACACATGGAGTCATGTGGGTTGAAGAGGAATCCCAGGCAGGGCCAGCAGCTCTTCTCTTGGACATAACTTTGTTCTTCACCCTCCCATTCGTTTTTGCTAAATTTAGCAATCTTTTCTTCTCTCTTGAAAAGGAGCTATAAAAATCACTCTCATCCTCAAACTCCAACCATGCTTTGAACTAAAAGGTCTTCAGAACTTGGAAATGCAACGTCGTTAGAGGATTTAAATGCAAAGCAGATTCACCCAAAGGCTACTGCATCATATTTTAATTCTATTTAATTTAGTGCTAATTTAAAAGAGAAACCTGTGGAGCAGAGTAGACAGTATGTCTATGAAGCCAGAAGGTACAAACCTGGGAAAGTCGATAACATGCCTCTCCTCCAGCCCCCAACAGCTCGCCCCCTTCTCCTCCTTGCCCAATGTCCAAATTTCTTAGCATTTGATTTTATAATTATAAGAAGCTAGGCATGTAGGCTGTGGCTGAGCACTTGCCTAGCATGCATGGAGCCCTGGATTCCATCTCCAGTGTGCGTGTGCGTGTGCGTGTGCATGTGTGTGTGTGTGTGTGTGTGTGTGTGTGTCAGAGACTCTGAGATACATCCGCATCCTCGATCACACACACACTCTGCTTGGTTTCCTGGCTCCCAGCCATTTTTGTTTTCTATTTTCTCCCAAATCTTCAGAGACTCTGGGAGCACGGGACCTCCTGGGGAATTTCAGGTGTCCCTGAGAACTTCCTGGCAGGAACACTCACCTGGAGAGACACAGGCTGCCCTGTGTGGCTGAGCTTTGAGGTGGCCCTTCCCTCACTCCAGGGCTGATGCAGAAGGACGCGCTGCAGATTTCTCTCAAGGATCCAGAGTGGCGGAAATTAAACAGGGCCAGGCTCGGCGCCCAACCCCCCTGCAGGATGCCCGGGGTCTTTAAGCCTTTAATTTCATCTCCTGTGATGATTTCACGATGGAAACAGGGGGCGCACACCTCTCTGGACTACAGAGATGAGAAAACACTGCCATCTCCACACACACACACACACACACACACACACACACACACACACACACAGCAGTCCTGGGTCCTTGCTTTCCAGAGCCCTCTTGCTCAGTGGTGTGATTCACTGCTAGTGACCTCAAGCTCTTGGACTTGGTGTAGCATTCACGTTCTCACCGTGTACAGATGATGGAGAAAGTCAGGGAGAAGGAACCGGAGCTTCCAGGAGCCCGTTTCTCCCTCAGGGTCAGCCAAACAATAGGGTGGGGGAAATAACCTTCCACCCACCTGCCTACAAACCAGGGACACGTGGGGATCTCGATGGGAGTTAGGACCAAGGGGTGGCAAAGCACGGTGTGATGGGAGCCCAGGGGAGTAGGAGCCGCACCCACAGTGCCCCTCTCTGGGCCTCTGAGTCCTCACTTGTAAAGGTCAACTCAGGCATTCTGATGGGGGCCCAGGAAGAGTGCTTTCAGCAGGTGTGAGCAAGCACAGGAAGACAGTCAGACACAATCTGGGTTCCTGCTTGTTTTGCAAACGCTCGAGCCTGACATGAAGCACATTTTGTGTTTGGCTACTTGGAGCCAGAGTCTTCACTGCACCTAAACAAGATGGATTATCGTTTAAGAGTGTGTGATAAAATGGGAAACTTGGAAACCAGAGGTCGGTATTCCAGGGTGAAGGGGAGGTAAAACCCATAAGGAGCTGTGCTCAGGAGGAACAGTGACTGTTCTTATTCTTCAGGGTCCTCGGGAACTTATTTGGAAAATAAGTACAATAACACTACTGACCTCATGGGCTTGATTGCATAAAGGATTGGCAGAGTACCTGGTACCACACCCCAAATAATAACTGTTATTCTTTAATTATATATAAACAGTGGTAGCAAACTTCTTGGGAACTTAGGAGGTTTTATAATTCATAAAATATTGCTTTTCTCATGTTATTGGATTCCTGAAACCTGGCAAAAAGACATTATTATTTCTATTTGACAATAGCAATGGAGTCCTCTCTATGATCATAACCTAAAAGGGAAATAAGGGGTATCTTATTTTGCTTTCTGTGGCCATAACAAAATACTCAAGACCTGGTAATTTATAAAGAATAGAGGTTTATTTAGCTTCCAGTTCTGGAGGCTGAAACTCCAAGATCAGGCAGCTGCATCTGGCGAGAGCCTTCTGTTATATTATAACATGTCAGAAAAGCAGAAAGGCCCGCAGGTAGTGGGGAAGAGAACAAATGCGAGGAGTCCCTTTGTTTTATAACAACCTACTCTTGAGGAAGCTAATCTGGTCCTGAGAGAGTGAAAACGCACTGGCTTATGTGAGAATTCACCCATTACTGTGAGAACGGCTTGAGCCCTTCAGGATGACAGCCAGGGCCCCAACACCTCTTCAAGGTCCTACTCCTCTCACCACCTTACATGGGGAACCAAATCTCAACACAAGTTTCAGAGGGGACAGACCCTAGCAGGGGGACACTTGGAATCAATCTGTTGTTCTTTTCACTTGACCAAGCGCATTTGATACAGATATGTGAAACAGAGCCCTGCTATTGACTGGGAGAGCCCAAAGCTGAATAATGGAAATAACATGAGTTAAATAAGTGCCTGATTCCAGAGCGTCAGCCTTGCCTAGGACATCCGTGACTAACTCCAGTTAGATGTGAAAGTAGCCATTGCTGGGGAAGTTCAGGGGTAAAGGTGGTGAGATTGGCTGCTACCAAGGGATCACCTGCCAGGGCTGCTGTGGGCACCTACTGACCCACAAACAGTCTGCCATGGGACAGAAAGTGGTTGTCTGTCATCCTGGACTCCCCAGTCTGTGGCCGTCCCTGCTGTCCACCTCCCTCCACCAATCCTCTA